TATATATATATATATATATATATATATATATATATATATCCATCCTTAAGTATGTGCAAGAGGCACTACATATGGTTTGTTTAGCTCTGGAGCTGAGTACAGTAACACATTCCTTTGGCAGGAGTGTAGGGAAGGTTTGTATAATACTATACAGAAAGAAAAGCTGGACATAGTAGTGCATGCTTGTAGTCTCAGCAGTTGAGAAGTTTGAAGCAGGAAGATTGATGCAACTTTAAGCCTGAGCTGCAGACCTGTCAGGGAGGCCTACAAGAGGGAAGCTGTCTAAAAAAAAAAACCAAACAAACAAATAAACAGAGACAAAAACAAGTTTTGTGAAACGTAAATCAAGTTGTATTGTCTTCATTTCTTACTCTAAGAGCTCTGTTCAGAACAATTTCCACTTCTGACTATGCTCCCTCCTTTTAGTAATCTCAGACGTGTTGGCTCCAAACTCTGGGAGGACAAAACCTCCCCCACTCTCCGAAGTCCTAACCTCCCAATCCTAAATTTACAACTGCTTAGCATACCCTTCATCCTGGATGCCCCAATGGTATCTCTGACTAACTGTTCATCTTTTCCTTCACCTATGTTTCCTCTCTCCTGTTTTTATTAGTGTCACATCAAACTGTTGGCAATTTTTATAGAGTTTTATATGGTGACTTAACTGCCAACATGCTAGCTGAGGCTCTTGTTACCTTTCTGGATTATTACAATGGCTTCCTATGATCTGTTTTCCCTACAGCTCATGCACTAAATTAATCTCCTGAAGCACTGCTTCAGCTTCTACAGTTCCTATTTCTAAATTTTTATGTGTTGCTTCCAATAACATAAACATTTAAATGTCTCAGCTGGACAATCAAGCCTCCCCAATGCCCAAACACGAAGAGCCATTTATGCCAAACAGTGTGAGAAGCCTTATCTAATTCTCTCAATTGGAAGTAGATGGTAATATTATCTTAACTGCTTTTAAAGGATGATCAGGAGGAGGTTATAACTGACTATCTGCAGATGCTAAGTGGCAGAGCTGGGATATATAATTTGGCCCTAACTTTATCTTACATTACTTCCTTCACAAACACTAGACAAACTGAATTTCTGGGTGATTTCTTATTGTGCTCCACTTGACCAGATGAACTTCTCTTTTCTAACATTTCACATCTAAGCCTACTTCTGAATTTTTGTAACACTGTGTGTGCTCAGACATGCATGGATGCATGCATGCACGCACACATGCATACACTCACACATTTGTGCATGTACATGTGTCTATGGTGACCAGCAGTCAACATTGGGTGTGTAGTTCCTTCAGGGTCACTCACTTTGCTTTCTGAGACAGGGTCTTTCACTGGGGCCTGGGGCTCGAGATTAGGCAAGGTTAGCTGGAGAGTGGGGCCTCAGGGATACTTCCTCTGTTTCTGCTACCCCAGTGATGGGATTAGAAGCATGCACTGCTGAGTCTGGCTTTCTATGTGGATGCTATGGATGAAACTTGGGTCCTTGTGCTTGGGAGGTAAGCACTTTATCAACTGACTTCAGGCACTCTTGTAGAAATCTTAACTTAAAAAAAAATAACAAAACATGTATTAGCATCTATGGGACCCATGTGTATATGGACATGTGTACATCCTACCTGAGAACTGGAACCTCCTTGACAGACAGTGCTTAATTGTGGTAGATGAAGATGAACAACACTTTTATGTAAGTGGCAATCAAAATAGAACTATCATTCCAGGTGCTGGTGGCCCATATGCTTTTAATCCCAGCACTCAGACAGCAGAGACAGGTGGGTATCTGAGTTCGAGGCCAGCTTGGTCCACAGAGTGATTTCTAGGACAGGGACAGCCAGGGATAGGCAGAGAAACCCTGCCTGAAAATGAAACAAAACAAAACAAAATAGAACTAGCATGTTAGTGAGAGAAAAATAAATGGTTTCTGTTACTTGGTCTGTGTTTCTCCAGAGACTCTGGTTCTCTTCTCTAAGAATCAATCCTCATATTAGACCTCTAAGCACTCCTTTCCTAAAGATTAATTGTAGGTTTTATATGCTAGGAATTCTCCAACAACACAGTTTCTTCTCATTTTTCTTTTTGTCATATTATCTGTTGTTACTTTTATATATTAAAGACTTTTCTAGGTATTTTACATCTTTTGACAAAACTGCATATATCACTCTTCTACTACTTCAAAACTCTTCCTGAAGTAGCTTTCTGTTTGACTATGAATTGAGTACTTCACTAATAGCATGCGTAAGACTCTGTTGAGATTAGAATACTTCAGTTTTTACAAATTCATGCTCATGTTTTTGACTGTGTTTAAGACATCATGATAGGCAAGAATGAAAACCAAAATCATGGCTGCTGCACAGTGTGTATGTATACATTCGTGATGACCCCTTTTAAAAACACTGTTCATTTACCCATTTAGAGTCTATGTGGCCATCAAAAGCAATTTTCTGCTTCAAACTTTGGAACAGATAGGATAACAACCCTGGCTTTTCAAAACTGTTCTATTTAGCATATATCCATGTTGTAGCACATATCAGCTTATTGCTGCTGCTCTCGTGATGACATGGCTTGCATAAGCACCCCAATAATGTACAGGTAAAAACCAAATCCTTACTGTTTGATATACAATATGGAAACTTAATTCAAGTATGTTTGGATGTAGGATCTTTGGAAGGTGATTAGGGTTATAAAAAGCCATTAGGGAAAAATCCCAGTGACTAAATATGGTTGAGGGTCATCAAAAGGAGATGGAGAAACAGAAAATCATGGGACAGAGAGAAGGAGGAGAGGGGGACAGTGGAGAGGGAAAGAAAGGCCAGAGACTGACAATGCAGAGAATATAGACACAGACACAGATGTGTGCTCCCTGTCTCTTACCATGTGATGCCCTGCACTATCTCAGCACTCTGCCAGCAAGAAGGCCTTTCTTCCCCAGAGCTAGTTTTCTGCTACTTATATTTAAAGCTTCCAGAACTAAACTGAATAATTCTGATTTTTCATAGGGTTACACAGTCTAGGGCATTTCATTATAGTAACAAAAAAGGTACTATTGGAAGTAAGTACTTTCTATGGCTGAGCAATACTATTCTCTTTGAGAATATCATAAAATGTACTTTAATCCTATGCATCCCCCTTCTCAACTCCTCCTCTATCTACTTTATCTGCCTTTTCCTCCTTAGATACCCAATTTTGAATTTTTTTCCTTCTTCTTTTTTCTCTTCCTCCTCCTTCTCCTCATTTTTCCCCACCATCAAGTCCAGTTTGTGTTACCAGTCCAGTCTTGAGAGTGGGCCTATACTGGAGTGTGGCTGACCTACCAGGGGTTTCATCATTAAAGAAAAAGGACCATCTCAGGACATACAAAAAAGAATATTGACAAAAGCCAACGTCCTTTCATGAGAAAATTCTTGGAGAATCTAGAAATTCCAAGTCTATTGTCTCAACATATTAAAGATTCAACCACAAAACTCCTACATGTTCAACAAAGTAGCAGGAAACAAAATTAACAAACACACACAACAACAACAACCTTTCTATATATAAACAACAAACATATTCAGAAAGAAATTAGCATTGATGGTACAGCTGGGCAGTGGAAGTGGTGGTGGTGGTGACACATGCCTCTAATCCCAAGTTCAAGGCCAACCTAGTCTACAGGGTGAGTTCCAGGATATCCAAGCTCACACAGACACACACACACACACAAACACACACACCTGCCTCAATAAACAATAAGTAGATAGATAGATAGATAGATAGATAGATAGATAGATAGATAGATAGATAGATGACACCACAGAAAGAAATTGAATGGGATGTTCTATATTTTGCATTATGTGCTTTGTTGATGGGAATTTAGGATGCTTTTACAGTTCATCTACTATGAACCATGTTGCTGTGAACACATGTATAGTTTCTGTATAGATACACATTTTCAGTTTTCTAGAATGTATACTTTGAAGAGGAATTGCTGGGGCATACACTATTTGAAGAATTTGTAGCACTTTGAGGCTCTTCTACTGAAGCAAATGTGGTATTTTGCACTTACATAAATACACAAAGTTTCTATTTATGCCACATCATAGCCAACACCTATTATCTACCTTTTGGAAGATAGCCATTTTGATGGCTGTAAAGCAACAGCTCCTTTTGGTTTTGATTTGTATTGTCTTAATAGTTACTGATACAAAACTTCTTTTCATGTGCTCATTACTCATTTGTGTATTGTCTTTGGCCCATTGACTTGTTTAATTAGTGAGTTGTAACAGGTTTTCTATAGTCTGGACTCCAACTCTTCATCACATACAATTTGTCTAAAGCAGTTTCCCTAATTCTATGGGTAGTGGTTTTTACTCTGTTGTTGTTTGCTGCTGCTATTATTTTTTGGAGACAGGGTTTCACTACAACTGAAGCTAGCCTTGAAATTGCAATTCTTCTGCCTCTGACTCTTATTGCCTTACCAACAAAATTCTTTGCAGCTCCTTTTGTTTTTGAAACTCTATTTTTTAAATCTTCATTCATGTAAGAGTATTTGCCTGCATACATGTATGGACATGTATTATATGTGTGCCTAGGACCTGCAAAGGCCAGGGAAGGGTATCAGATATGTTGGAACTGGAGTTACAGGTGGTTGTGGGTGCTGGGAACATTGGTGGGACACGGGGTCCTTTGGAAGAGCAGCGAGGGCCCTTAATCACTCATTCACTTCTGCAGCCTTTCAAATCTTTACATGTATCAAACTGAACTATATTTTTTTACTTTATTTTTTTTATTTTTTTTAACAGAATACAAATGGTTATATTATCCTGCTTACAAAATAACAAGAGAAAAATTGAACATGTTTAAAATATCTATCTATCTATCTTTCTAATTCTTTATTTTTATTTTTATTTTTTTGTATTTTATTTTTTTCTTATCAGTTACATTTTA